GGCAGGAACCTCCATAGGCGCCCGTCACCTCTCCAGCCGGGAGAGCGCGGCGCGGGGCTAAACCAGCCCCCCGCGACCCTCTCCCAGCTGGAAATGTGACGCGCGCCTATGGCAGGAACCTCCATAGGCGCCCGGTCACCTCTCCAGCCGGGAGAGCGCGCGCGGGGCTAAACCAGCCCCTCGCGACCCTCTCCCGGCTGGAGAAGTGACGCGCGCCTATGGCAGGAACCTCCATAGGTGCCCGTCACCTCTCCAGCCGGGAGAGCGCGCGCGGGGCTAAACCAGCCCCCCGCAACCCTCTCCCAGCTGGAAATGTGACGCGCGCCTTATGGCAGGAACCTCCATAGGCGCCCGTCACCTCTCCAGCCGGGAGAGCGCGCGGCGGGGCTAAACCAGCCCCCGCGCGACCCTCTCCCAGCTGGAGAAGTGACGCGCGCCTATGGCAGGAACCTCCATAGCGCCCGTCACCTCTCCAGCCGGGAGAGCGCGCGCGGGGGCTAAACCAGCCCCCGCGACCCTCTCCCAGCTGGAGAAGTGACGCGCGCCTATGGCAGGAACCTCCATAGGCGCCCGTCACCTCTCCAGCCGGGAGAGCGCGCGCGGGGCTAAACCAGCCGCCCCGTGACCCTCTCCCAGCTGTGAGATGTGACGCGCGCCTATGGCAGGAACCTCCATAGGCGCCGTCACCTCTCCAGCCGGGAGAGCGCGCGCCGGGGCTAAACCAGCCCCTCGCGACCCTCTCCCGGCTGGAGAAGTGACGCGCGCCTATGGCAGGAACCTCCCATAGGTGCCCGTCACCGTCTCCAGCCGGGAGTCGCGCGCGGGGCTAAACCAGCCCCCCGCGACCCTCTCCCAGCTGGAAATGTGACCGCGCGCCTATGGCAGGAACCTCCATAGGCGCCCGTCACCTCTCCAGCCGGGAGAGCGCGCGCGGGGCTAAACCAGCCCCCCGCGACCCTCTCCCAGCTGGAGAAGTGACGCGCGCCTATGGCAGCAGCCTCTGAAGGATGCACCGAAGCCTGGCGTGGGGGGGGGGGGCGGAGAGACCTTCTCCCCGCGCCAGCCTTCGGATGGCTGTCCTGAAGACTTGGGGGTGGGAGAAGGGTTTTCCTTCCCACCGCCAACATTCAGAATGCTGTCTGAATGTTGGCGGTGGGGAGGAAAAACCCTCCTCCCCACGCAAGCCCCGGGAACAGAGGGAAAGCCGCTGCGCGCCTTCCCCTCTGTTCCCATACCTGTGCTGAAGGCTTGCGGTGGGGAGAAAAGCCCTTCTCCGCACCGCCAGCCTGGCAAGCGGTTTCCCTAGGAACGCATTAATTGATTTTCAATGCATTCCTATGGGAAACTGTGCTTCGCAAGACGAAAAACTCGCAAGAAGAAAAAACTTGCGGAACGAATTAATTTCGTCTTGCGAGGCACCACTGTATATCCGACTTCAGCCTGTCCGCTTGAAGTCGGGGAAGGGTTAACCACCAGTTGGGGAGTCCTCCCCCGGGGTCACCAATAGGGGGCGTGCCTTAGGCCCTCACCTCCCCAGGCTTCGGACAGGGCCACATCCCCCGGGATCCTTTATTGGACTACCCTTCAAGATTTGGGGCAGGTGATGGCGTAACCTCCCTTCTTCCATCTACAAAACAATACCAATGCCTAACCGCCAATACCCAGAAAGTTGCGATGATTTGCTACGAGGGTAGGCGAAAACCAAGTGGCTGGTGCCAATTCGCCAAGTGGAAAAATTCCTACCAGGCCCTCAATGGCGGCCAACCAAGGTCCATAGCAAGATGAAGGAACAAAAACCTTAAAGGGCGGGAGGGTGGGAAAAGCAGGAACAGCTGGCAGGCGGGAAAAGAGGGAGATCCCCAGCCGCATCCTGCCTTAAATAGGGCAGGCCACACACCCCCAGAGCCAGCTGATTGGCTGGCCAGGGGATGACGCGGCCGGGGATTCCCCCCAATCGTGCGGGGCTGAGCTCCAGCCGCGTGCCCATGGGTGGGGTCGTCATCCCACAGCCCCATCTCTTCAAGTGGCTTAACAAAGCGCAGCTGGCACTGGGCGCCACACAGCGGCGGCAACTCTTCCTGCGGGGGCCTGCCGTGGGACTTGAGTCTGCCCTCCGCCTCTCCCTCACCCGCCCTACGGCTGAGGGGGAGGCGGCGCAGAGTTCCACGCAGCGCCCCGCCCCAATCAATGACTCGCCTGCCCCTAGCTGCAGGAACATGCGCACCGCACCCCGGCACTTGGGCGGATAGCTACCGTATTTTTTCGCCCTATAAAGAGCACACTTTTTTCCCCTCCTAAAAGTAAGGGGGAAACTGTGATGTGCGTCTTATGGAGTGAATGCAGGGCTGGCTGGCAAGCCTTTCGCTGAAGCCTCCTGGAGCCGCAGTGGCAGCACTCCCGCTGTGCTTCCAGAGACTTCCGCGTTTGCTTTCGCTGAAGCGTGGCAGGGGTAGGGTGGGGTCTCTCCCCCCCGCTTGCCCTCCCCCCTTCCCCTCCCATCTGGGCACTCACCCGGCTGGGAACCCATTTTAACTCTGTCGGGTGGCAGGGCGAGTCGAGAGCGACAGACAGGGAGAGAGAACGAGAGAGAGAGAGGAGAGAAGGTCAAGGGCCTTGAGAACGAGCAATGGCAAGAGAACCACAGCAAGGCAGGCAGGCCAGAGGAGAAGGGACCCACAGGCCTGACCAGGGCGGAAGGTGTTGCACGACCCTTTTTAAGCAACCAGGTCTCTGCAAAAGGACTTGGGCACGGCAGAAGCACACACAAATTTTGCATGCACACATTTCGTAAATTGCTTCAACTGCTTTTTTAAAAAAGAAAGAAAACCAAGCGGTATATGCAGTTTGTGAAATTCCATAAATAACAACTGAAATGCTTTAAATTCTAGGAATGGCCAGCAGGTGGCAGTTCATGAAAACCACTCTGAGACTTATCCGGAGTGATTTGTCCAAATTCTCGAGCTTTTTTCCTTCTCCCATAGTTGTCGATAAGTCAGGATTTCTGGGTTCCAGTAGTGTCTGGTTCCCCAAACTTGGTGCCCTCCAGATTTTCAGACTACAATTGCCATCAGCCACAGCAGATGTGACACGGAGGATGTTGGGAGTTGTAGCGCGAGGCGGCTGAAGGGCTCCATGTTGGGCAAGGCACCCCTAGGCACCCTGTTCACCCCTAGGCCTATGCAATGATGATTTAAACTGAATTTGCACATGGCAACAATGAAATCAGGACGGCCTCGCCAGATAATTCTTCGTGTTCCCGTGCACAAAATTTCATGCTCGCAAAATCATTATTGCGGCTGCAGAAAGCTTTGCACTGGTAAAAGGGTCTTGGGGGATTTCTGTGAACAGCTGTCCCCTCCTATCCTCCTATGATTTGCAAGAAAAGTCCCGCTGCTGGGATACCTCAGTCGTTAGGGCGCAAGGCTCTTGATCTCGGGGTTGCGGGTTCGAGTCCTGCCTTGGGCAAAAGATTCCTGAACTGCAGAGGGTTGGACTAGATAACCCTCAGGGGTCCCTTCCAACTCGATGATCCCTCCCCTGACCATTGGCCAGGCTGGTGTGAGCTGGGGTCCAGCTACATCTTAAGTGGCCAAAGCATCCCTGGAAACGGGGGGTGTTCATGTCAGGCTGGGGTGGGGGGCCACTGTCAAAAGGCCAGGTTAGGATGGGGAAAGCTGAGGGTGTTTGAAGGCAGTCCAGGAACAGAAAGGAGAAACGCAGAAGGAAAACGCAAAGGAGTGTTGTGAGCATCTAGAGACAGCGGAAATCCTTTTTCTGAGGAAGGCAGGCCGAATATTTGGGGGGGGTCTCTCTGAGCAGTCAGGAGAGATAAAGGGAAGTCCTTCTTCACACAACGCATCGTTAAACTATGGAACTCACAGCCACAGAAGGCAGCAAAGGCCACCAACCTGGGTGGCATTCGAAGAGGATTAGATGAGTTCGTGGAGGTTATCTCCCGCTTGGACTACTGCAGTGCGCTCTATGTGGGGCTACCTTTGAAGGTGACCCGGAAACTACAACTAATCCAGAATGCGGCAGATAGACTGGTGACTGGGAGCGTCCGCCGAGACCACATAACACCAGTCCTGAAAGATCTCCATTGACTCCCAGTACATTTCTGGGCACAATTCAAAGTGTTGGTGCTGACCTTGAAAGCCCTAAACGTCCTCGGTCCAGTATACCTGAAGGAGCGTCTCTACCCCCATCGTTCAGCCCCGACACTGAGGTCCAGCGCTGAGGGCCTTCTGGCGGTTCCCTCCCTGCGAGAAGCGAGGTTACAGGGAACCAGGCAGAGGGCCTTTTCGGTGGTGGCGCCCGCCCTGTGGAACACCCTCCCGTCAGATGTCAAGGAAATAAAGAACTATCTGACTTTTAGAAGACACCTGAAAGCAGCCCTGCTTAGGGAAGTTTTTAATGCTTGATCTTTTATAGTGTTTTTAACATTCTGTTGGGAGCCTCCCAGAGTGGCTGGGGAAACCCAGCCAGATGGGCGCGGTATAAATAATAAAATAAAAATAAATAATAATAATAATATAATAACAATTTATTATTTATACCCTGCCCATCTGGCTGGCTTTCCCCAGCCACTCTGAGCGGCTTCCAACAGAATATTAAAATACAATAGTCTATTAAACATTAAAAGCTTCCCTAAACAGGGCTGCCTTCAGATGTCTTCTAAAAGTCATCATCAATGGAAAAAGGCACGGAGAGTTATATGATGTTATATTTAATAACGTTTTTACACATCCATGTAGATCCAGCCCACGTCATACCCCATGCTTCCTCTCTCCCAGCACTGTCCAAACTGACTGGACCGGGGAATGTCCCCCCCATTTCAGACCGGGGGACATTCCCAGCCCTGCTTAGACAATGTGGCTGGGCTGTCGTTGAGCATCAAACGCCTTAGCTGGAGTTTCCCATTGACGGCTCCAGACAAGGTGCTTCTCCCGTGACGCCCGCTCTTTGGAGCTTGCACATCAACGCGCGCCTTTCCCGCTTACCACATTGGGGTGCTTCTCCATGGCCAGAGCCGCCCGCTCCATGTTCTGCTGGCGCCGCTGCCTCTTCTTCATGGCTCGCAGGATGAGGAAGAGAATGATGGCCGTCACCAAGAGCAGTGCCCCCAGGCCGCCTGCCAGGATCCCGGCATCCATCGTCCCCTGGTGCCCGGCTTCGAGAGGATCCAGGGGGACTGATCAGGAAGCGGAGAGGTTTGGGGGGGTGAGAGGAAAAAACATTGGGTCTCAATCTGAGCCGCAATAAACAGTGCAGAGAGAGCTCAGGACTGCAGGGGTCTTGCGCAGTGACGTACTGTAGTTTTCGCTCTATAAGACGCACCTACGGTAGTTTTAGAGGAGGAGAACAAAAACAAAATATTCTCTCCCTCTCTGCTCAGCACCTCTCCAGCAAAGCGGGAGGAGAAACGGAAGGGGCTCCATTTCTCCTCCCGCTTCGCTGAAGGGGCGCTGTGCAGAGAGGGAAAGCTGCGCAGCACCTCTCTAGTGAAGCGAAGCCAGGAGAGCAAGAGGGATCAGTGCGCACCGATCCCTCTTGCTCTCCTGGCTTCAGCAAAAGCAACGCGAAGTCTCTGGAGCACAGCGGGAGTGCTGCCACTGCGCTCAGGAGGCTTCAGCGAAAGCTGCGCAGCCTGCATTCACTCCATAAGACGCACACACATTTCCCCTTACTTTTTAGGAGGGGAAAAGTGTGTCTTATAGGGCGAAAAATACGGTAGCTATCCGCCCAAGTGCCGGGTGCGGTGCGCATGTCCTGCAGCTAGGGGCAGGCGAGTCATCGATTGGGGCGGGGGCGCTGCGTGGAACCTCTGCGCCGCCTCCCCCTCAGCCGTAGGGCGGGTGAGGGAGAGGCGGAGGGCAGACTCAAGTCCCACGCAGGCCCCGCAGGAAGCGTTGCCCGCCCTGGTGTGGCGCCCAGTGCCAGCTGCGCTTTGTTAAGCCACTTGAAGGAGATGGGGCTGTGGGATTGACGACCCCACCATGGGCACAGCGGCTGGAGCTCAGCCCCGCACGATTGGGGGGAATCCCCGGGCGCGTCATCCCCTGGCCAGCCAATCAGCTGGCTCTGGGGTGTGTGGCCTGCCCTATTTAAGGCAGGATGCGGCTGGGGATCTCCCTCTTTTCCCGCCTGCCAGCTGTTCCTGCTTTTCCCACCCTCCCGCCCTTTAAGGTTTTTGTTCCTTCATCTTGCTATGGACCTTGGTTGGCCGCCATTGAGGGGCCTGGTAGGAATTTTTCCACTTGGCGAATTGGCACCAGCCACTTGGTTTTCGCCTACCTCGTAGCAAATCATCGCAACTTTCTGGGTATTGGCGGTTAGGCATTGGTATTCTTTTGTAGATGGAAGTAGGGAGGTTACGCCATCACCTGCCCCAAATCTTGAAGGGTAGTCCAATAAAGGATCCCGGGGGATGTGGCCCTGTCCGAAGCCTGGGGAGGTGAGGGCCTAAGGCACGCCCCCTATTGGTGACCCCGGGGGAGCTCCTAGTCGATGTGCATCAGCAGGACTCCCCCAACTGGTGGTTAACCCTTCCCGGACTTCAAGCGGACAGGCTGAAGTCAGATATAGTCGGTTAGGACCAATGCCTAAGCCAATACCGCTCATCACCTGTAACCAATAAAGTTGTGGCCTTATTTAGCCCATTAACCTTAATAATTGTGTCATGTGTCTTTATTTCCACGGGGGGGGGGGGGGCAGGAACTCACCACGCAATGTTTGTTGACATAACTAAAAAGTTTCTTGAGTCCAATTTTTTATTTTTTAAAACTCATATTTTTGTCGTGTTGTCACCCCCCTCTGTGATGACACCCGGGGCGGACCACACACACACACCCCTTCCTCCACCATTGTCCCTGCACCGATCAGATTCATATCTAACAACAGCAAAACCACCGCTTATTTTTACAAAGCACTGAGTGTTCAAAGGGCCTTATTGACGTGTTGTCAGTGATCCTTACAACAATCATAGAATCATAGAGTTGGAAGAGACCACAAGGGCCATCGAGTCCAACCCCTGCCAAGCAGGAAACACCATCAGAGCACTCCTGACATATGGCTGTCAAGCCTCTGCTTAAAGACCTCCAAAGAAGGAGACTCCACCACACTCCTTGGCAGCAAATTCCACTGTCAAACAGCTCTTACTGTCAGGAAGTTCTTCCTAATGTTTAGGTGGAATCTTCTTTCTTGTAGTTTGGATCCATTGCTCCGTGTCCGCTTCTCTGGAGCAGCAGAAAACAACCTTTCTCCCTCCTCTATACGACATCCTTTTATATATTTGAACATGGCTATCATATCACCCCTTAACCTTCTCTTCTCCAGGCTAAACATGCCCAGCTCCCTTAGCCGTTCCTCATAAGGCATCGTTTCCAGGCCTTTGACCATTTTGGTTGCCCTCCTCTGGACACGTTCCAGAGTTTTTTAAAAAAATTATTTATTTTTTTAAAAGATTATTTATTTATTTGGTTTTTCAAATTAACGTTTTACACTCACATATCCAACCTACATCATAAAATCATGGGTCCTACTATTAATCATTTTCTCCTGCGTCTTTTATAACAACCCAAATCTTTTACATCTCCGTCGTATCCAAAATTCACTATTAAACTACTAGTGTTATGCCAATCCTACTAAAGATTCTAAACTGTTTTACAATGTTTTTTAAGATCAATTATAAATTTCCCCCATTCCTTATTAAAATTCTGGCCTGCCTGATTTCAGATTATTTCGGTCTCTTTTGCCGTTTTGGCATAGATCCTTACCACAATCCCATAAGGTAGGCAAGTTTTACCATCGACTTTATGGCAGTGAAAAGCTGAATTGTTGGAGCAAGTCTAGTGATTTCGTGGAATTAATTAAACCAAGGAGTTTCGATTGGGTTCAGAATACAGTGGTGCCTCGCAAGACAAAATTAATCCATTCCGCGAGTCTCTTCGTCTTGCGGTTTTTTCGTCTTGTGAAGCACGGCTATTAACGGCTTAGCGGCTATTAACGGCTTAGCGGCTTTAAGAAAAAGGAAACAAACTCGCAAGAACTCGCAAGACGTTTCGTCTTGCGAAGCAAGCCCATAGGGAAATTCGTCTTGCGGAACGACTCAAAAAACGGAAAACCCTTTCGTCTAGCGAGTTTTTCGTCTTGCAAGGCATTCGTCTTGCGGGGCACCACTGTAAAGGCACAATTCATTTTGAACTGTATTGTTCTCATTCCTCAATGTGTCGAGCAAATGGCTATTTTGAATAGTGCTTCTTTGTAGGGTAGGGGGGACTGGCAATGAGTTTGGGAAGCCAATGGGGCCATATCCCCCCCAAAGTTCGGGAACCCCAGGGTTATATAATACAGTGGCACCTCAATTTTCAGACGTCTCCGTTGCTGAACATTTCAGTTTTCGAAAGCCAAAACTCCCAGAAGTGAATGCTTCTGTTTTTGAATGCGCCTTGGAAGTCAAACTGCTTCCGCGTTGTTTATCTGGTGTTTTTCACAATTCTCTCTATTGAACTGGCAGATCGCCCTTTGCCCCTCGGTTTCCGAACATTTCGGAAGTCGAACAGTCTTCCGGAACGGATTACGTTCGAAAACTGAGGTACCACCAATCTTTGGACTCGACTATCCTTGGACTTTACGGCAATAAAAACATATAGAAGGTTAATAGTAATGTGATATGTTATTGCCATCAGGAACAGTGCTTTGCAATTTTTTGATATGATGATTAAATTACAGTTTTATTATATATAATGTTATGTTACTTTGGGGCGCGGGTGGCACTGTGGGTTAAACCACAGAGCCTAGGACTTGCCAATCAGGTCGGCGGTTCGAATCCCCGCAACAGGGTGAGCTCCCGTTGCTTGGTCTCAGCTCCTGCCAACCTAGCAGTTCGAAAGCATGTCAAAAGTGCAAGTAGATAAATAGATACCACTCCGGTGGGAAGGTAAACGGTGTTTCCATGCGCTGCTCTGGTTCGCCAGAAGCGGCTTAGTCCTGCTGGCCACATGACCCGGAAGCTGTACGCCGGCTCCCTCGGCCAGTAAAGCGAGATGAGCGCCCCAACCCCAGAGTGGGCCACGACTGGACCTAATGGTCAGGGGTCCCTTTACCTTTACCAATGTTACTTTACAGCCAGTTACGTGTGTGTTGTGGTATTCTGAACATGATTTACGTAATGAGGCAATTGTGGTGTGTAACACAGTCCTAGGCAAACTTGGCCCCCCAGATGTTTTGGGACTACAACTCCCATCATCCCTGACCACTGGCCCCGTTCACTAGGGATGATGGGAGTTGTAGTCCCAAAACATCCAGAGGGCCGAGTTTGCCTATGCCTGACTGTAACGGAATAAGGACCCATTGCTATGTACCACCAGCCTTCAGCAACACATTGGGCGCATGTCCTTTCATGGATAGCTGAGAGGCCATGTCCAGAGAGGGAGCCCACCTGCCCAGTCGCCCACCTGCCCAGTCACCTGCTCTGGCATACCTGCCTGGCCAGGACTCAGCACCTCCACGTTGACCGTGGTGTTGGCGGTCTCACCCGACTCCTCATCTCGTGCAAGGATCTAAAGGAGGAACGAGAGCTGAGCATCACCAGGAGCACACAGGTGGGCGCAGAGAGTATTTTGGGAGTGAAACAGTCTCCTTCGGAAGGTGGCGGACTTTATTTCCCGGGATTTTTTGAGTAGAGGGCCGCCTGCCAGGGATTCTCACACTCAGGCCCAGACGGGGGGGGGGCATATGGGCCCACTTGGCCCGGGCCTCCGATTCCAAAGGGGGCCTCAGTCAGCATACATTCCCTATGCATTTTTTAAAAGCACTATTGTATATCTATAGTTCCCATTTTGTCTTTATACAGTGGTGCCTCGCAAGACGAAATTCATTCGTTCCGCGAGTTTTTTCGCCTTGCGATTTTTTTCGTCTTGCGAAGCACGGTTTCGGAAAAGTTTTGGAAAAGCTTCAAAAATCACAAAAGTCTTCAAAAACCTCAAAAAAGGCTACCACACCGCATGCTATGAGTTGCTCCTCGAAGTCAAGTCGCAACTGTATTAACGGTGTTAAGAAAAAGGAAACAAACTTGCAAGACGTTTCCGTCTTGCGAAGCAAGCCCATAGGGAAATTCGTCTTGCGAAGCAGCTCAAAAAACAAAAAACCCTTTCGTCTAGCGAGTTTTTTATCTTGCGAGGCATTCGTCTTGCGAGGTACCACTGTATACAGATACGGTTCAAGCCTTGAAATAAAATTACCATATTTTTCGCTCTATCAGATGCACTTTTCCCCTCCTAAAAAGTAAGGGGGAATGTGTGTGTGTCTTATGGGAAGAATGCAGGCGGGAGGCTCTGCTCAGCGATCCCTTTAAAGAGCCGCATGGAGTGTGTGTGGGGCTCTTGGGGGCTTTTCCCCGAGGAGGAAGAAGGGCAGCCCATCAGTCCCTTCTCCCTCCTGGGGAAAAGCCCCCAAGAGCCCCACACATGCTCTGCGCGCTCTTTAAAGGGAGCGCGGCTCTTGGGGAAGCCTTAGCCGCACGCAGCCTCTCCCGGGCAGGGAATGAAGGTCCTCTTACCTGGCCGGGAGAGGCTGCACGCAGCTATCCCATAAGCCAGGACAGCAAGCGGGATCGCTGCGCAGCGATCCCTCTTGCTGTCCTGGCTTCTGGGATTCAGAATTTTTTTTTCTTGTTCTCTTCCAAAAACTAGGTGCGTCTTATGGTCTTATAGAGCGAAAAATACGGTATTTGTCAGCATAACTTTTGTGAAAATTATTTATATACTTAACGTAGATTCCAGCGTATTAAGCAACTGGGCGTATAAGACGACCTCCCAAATTGGCAGCTGCCAATTTGGGGGGTCGTCTTATACGCCCAGTTGCCTAATACGCGGCAGCTTCGCTGGGCAGCGGCAGTGGGCAGCGGGCTCCGCTCCACACCAGGAGGTAGCCACCCAGCTTCCTCCCAGTGTGGGGCCCGACGCCCATTGCCACTGCCCAGCAAAACCATACCCGGCGTATAAGACGACCCCCAACTTTTTAGAGGATTTTCTGGGCTTAAAAAGTCATCTTATACGCCGGAATCTACGGTACTTATTTATAAGACTTCTGTTATCCCCAGGGTAAAAAAGGGGGGGGCACATTATCTACCTGGCCCGGGCCTCTGCCTGGCTCTGCAAGGCCCTGCTCACGCTGTGATTCCTGCTCTCGCATCTGGCGCCACCTGCTGTTGACTCCCTGCCTTCCACCCAACCAGACCCACCGGGAGCCAGTTTCCCACTGTTCCTGCACGGTGGAGGACCGGCCACTGGGGGGCGGGGAAGGGCTCAGCTCAAACCTGCAAGGCGTATCGCTGGAGAGCGCTCAGGTGGTCGGCGCGGGCGATGAGGAGTCCGCCGGGGGTGACCTGGAAGAGCTGCGTGTGGTTGGACTTGCGCCTGAGACTGTACCGCACGGCAGGGTTGAAGCCCTGGGAAGAAAGGGAGAGATAAAATCAAGAAGTGGAAATATCGACGAGAGACAGGACTGAGATTTGGACATGCTTCATGGTTCAGATTATGGGAAGTCACAAAATTAAAAATTGCAATTCGGAAGATAACCCTACCTTTTTTATTATTATTATTATTTTTATTGGATAATAATAATAATTTATACCCCGCCCATCTGGCTGGGTTTCCCCAGCCACTCTGGGCAGCTTCCAACAGAACACTAAAATACAATAACCTATTAAACATTAAAAGCTTCCCTAAACAGGGCTGCCTTCAGATGTCTTCTAAAAGTTTGGTAGTTATGGTGTAGTGGTTAAGAGCGGTAGTCTCGTAATCTGGGGAACAGGGTTCGCGTCTCCGCTCCTCCACATGCAGCTGCTGGGTGACCTTGGGCCAGTCACACTTCTCTGAAGTCTCTCAGCCCCACTCACCTCACAGAGTGTTTGTTGTGGGGGAGGAAGGGAAAGGAGAATGTTAGCTGCTTTGAGACTCCTTAAAGGGAGTGAAAGGCGGGATATCAAATCCAAACTCTTCTTCTTCTTCTTCTTTGACATCTGGTGGGAGGGCGTTCCACAGGGCGGGTGCCAATACGGAAGAGGCCCTCTGCCTGGTTCCCTGTAAATTGGCTTCTCGCCATGAGGGAACCGCCAGAAGGCCCTCGGATCTGGACCTCAATGTCCGGGCAGAACAATGAGGGTGGAGACGCTACTTCAGGTATACTGGACCAAGGCCGTTTATGATTTGATATGTTAACTCCACAAACCCAGAAGTAAGTGTTCTGGTTTTTGAACTTTTTTCGGAAGCCGAACGTCCGACACTGCTTCTGCTAGAGTGCAGGAATTTCCTGCAGCCAATCGGAAGCCGTGCATTGGTTTTTGAATGATTTTGGGAGTCATAGCTGTCAACATTTCCCTTTTCTTGCAAGGAATCCTATTCGGAATAAGGGAATTTCCCTTTAAAAAAGGGAAACGTTGACAGCTATGTCGGGAGTCGAATGGACTTCCAGAATGGATTATGTTCGATAACCAAGGTACCACTGTACTGAGCCAACCCATTGGCCCCTTCACTTTAGCACTGCCCACACTGGCCGGCAGCATCTCTCCAGGGTTTCCAGACGGGCGCGATTCCTTTGCACCCATCCCTGGAAGATGCTGCTGTAGGTGGGGCCGGGGGCTTCCTGCATGACTTCTGGTTGAGATTCCCGCATTGGAGGGTTGGACTGGATGACCCTCGGGGTCCCTTCCAACTGTGATTCAAGGATTCCCCACCACGCCGACCTTTCTGGGCTGCCCCACCCAAACCGCACCCAGGTGACTCACGTTGGGGAAGTCCATGTCGGTGGCCAGGATGAAGAGGACCCTCCTGCTGTACGTCAGGACCAGAGAGGCCGTGCTCTCGCCTTCGTGGACAAAGGCCTGGTGCTGGGACTTCTCAAAGTGCGGCGCGTGGCTGTTGGCTGCCAGGATTCGCACGCGGACCTCGGTCACGGCGTACTTCTTGGCGTCGTTCACCTGAGAGGCCTGGGGGGGGCAGCAGGCAGGAGGGAGAGAGAGAAGGCAGTTTGCAGCAGAAATGCAACCAGCAAGCAGCAGAATTCGGTCACAGGGCAGGGTTGAATCCAGCTCTGGTTCCTGGCTTTGGCTTTGCACTTCCAATATACATTTTAAGCAAATTTGTATGTGTGCAGTGTAAGTGATGGAAGTCAATCAATGAAATTTTATTACTGAGATATTTGTAGAATAAATTTGGAAGAAATTCTTCCAATTTTTCTTCTTTTTTCTTTTTCTTTTTTCTTTTCTTCCTTTTCTTGTTCTTTTTTATATATGTGTGCTCATCTGAAAAATATATGTACAGGTGAAACTCAGAAAATTACAGTGGTACCCCGCAAGACGAACGCCTCGGGAGACGAAAAACTCGCTAGACGAAGGAGTTTTTCGTTTTCTTAGCCGCTTCGCAAGACGCATTTCCCTATGGACTTGCTTCGCAAAACGAAGCTTGCCCCGCAAGCTCCGGGAATAGAGGGGAAGCGCCGCGCGCCTTCCCCTCTGTCCCCGGACGGTTTCCATAGGAACACATTGATTGATTTTCAATGCATTCCTATGGGAAACTGTGCTTCGCAAGACGAAAAACTCGCAAGAAGAAAAAACTTGCGGAACGAATTAATTTCGTCTTGCGAGGCACCACTGTAGAATATCGTGGGAAAGTTCATTTATGAAGCACAGTGGACCAACACCAGCTGATGACATGGCTCCCCAAATTAACACAGACAGTGGAAACTTCACACTGGACTTCAAGCATCTGGCATTGTGTGCCTCCCCATTCTTCTTCCAGACTCTGGGTCCTTGGTTTCCAAATGAGGTGCAAAAGCTGCTCTCATCAGAAAAGAGATTTGGGGAGCCATGTCATCAGCTGGTGTTGGTCCACTGTTAATTAAGTCCAGGGTCAACGCAACCGTCTACCAGGAGATTTTGGAGCACTTCATGCTTCCTTCCGCAGACGAGCTTTATGGGGGATGCTGACTTCATTTTCCAGCAGGACTTTGGCATCTGCCCACCCTGCCAAAAGTACCAAAACCTGGTTCAATGCCCATGGGGTTACTGTGCTTGATTGGCCAGCAAACTCGCCTGGCCTGAACCCCATAGAGAATCTATGGGGCATTGCCAAGAGAAAGATGAAAGACATGAGACCGAGCAATGCAGAAGAGCTGAAGGCTACTATTGAAGCATCCTGGTCTTCCATAACACCTCAGCAGTGTCACAGGCTGATAGCATCCATGCCACACCACATTGAGGCAGTAATTGATGCAAAAGGGGCCCAAACCAAGTACTGAGTACATATGCATGCTTCTACTTCTCAGAGGTCCAATACTAGTCTATTTGCAATCCTTGTTTTGGCCGATTTCATTTACTATTCTAATTTTCTGAGATTGTTAATTTGGGGTTTTCATCAGCTGTACGCCATGATCATCACAATTATAGCAAATAAAGGCTTGACGTATCTCGCTTTGCAGGTCATGAGTCTATCTCATATATTAGTTTCACCTTTTAAGTTGAATTACTGAAATAAATGAACTCTTCCACGATATTCTAATCTTCCGAGTTTCACCTGTATGTATGTATTTGTATGTATTTTGTAATAATTATGTTAAATAAAAATTTAAAAAGTAAATAAAAAGACCCTACGTTAATTATTCCCTTTTATGTTTGACTGGTTTTCAATTAATCAGTTAATGGGCAAGCTTTTCCTGGGGGGGGGGGGACAGAGGGAGCGGGTGCATGCCGTTCTTTCTGATCCTCGGTGGTGCAAAATTCTTGGGGGGAGCAGGATGACCGTAAGGCAGAAATAAAGCAAAGAGCAGCTGCACTTTGGAACTCCCTGCCCATTGACGCCAGGCGAGACTGGAGCCCTCGCCATATAAAGGTAAAGGGACCCCTGACCATTAGGTCCAGTCGTGGCCGACTCTGGGGTGGCAGCGCTCATCTCGCTTTATTGGCTGAGGGAGCCGGCGTACAGCTTCCGGGTCATGTGGCCAGCAGGACTAAGCCGCTTCTGGCGAACCAGAGCAGCGCACGGAAACGCCGTTTATCTTCCCGCCGGAGCGGTACCTATTTATCTACTTGCACTTTGACGTGCTTTCGAACTGCTAGGTTGGCAGGAGCAGGGACCGAGCAACGGGAGCTCACCCCGTCGCGGGGATTCGAACCGCCAACCTTCTGATCTGCAAGTCCTAGGCTCTGTGGCTTAACCCACAGCGCCACCCAGGAAGTTTTTAATGTTTGCTGTTTTACTGTGGTTTTATAATTTGTTGGAAGCCGGTCAGAGGGACTGGGGCAGCCTAGTCTGGTGGGCAGCATATAAATAATAATAATAATAATAATAATAATAATAATAATAATAATAATAATAATATTACCACCGTATTGGCCTGAATATAAGCCCCACTTTTTTCAATTTCCAACCATGAAAATGCGGTTTATATTCGCAAACTTACGCCGCCAGGAAAGCAGCACGGCTCCACACCCCCACCCCAGGAAGCAGCCCAGGTATTGCCTTTTTTTCTCTGCCCCCCCCCTTCAATTTTAAAGGTGTGACTTATTTGCAGGTATGGCTTATATTTGGGCCAATACGGTATTATTATTATTTTCTTTGTTTAAGCAAGCCCACCTAGACATGTAACCATAGCTGGCATGTACTATCGCAACATGCAGTTTAATTTTTATTATGTATATTTATATTTTCAGCAGCTCCTTTTGGGGGAAAAACAATCTGGCTAACTGGTTTCTAACATCTCATTTTAACAGGAACTGGGATGTGTGTTTTAGGCTTAGGGGCTTTGATGACGATTGATTGATTGATTGATTGATCGGTTAAATTGATTCGCCGCTTTTTCTTGCCAAAGGCAACTCAAAGCAATTCGGAACCCAAAACTAAGCAGTGTTAAAAAAATACCTGTGACATAAAAATAAACGAAATAAATCACAGCAGGATTGGGGGCTGAGGCTGGGAGTTGAGAACCTCAATTTTCCCCTCCAGCCACGGATGCGAAGAACCCAGAGGGACCCATGACTTCTGCTCTCTCAGTTACAGGGGCCTACCATGACACTGAGGCTGTAGACTGGAGTGCGAATCCTGCTCTCCACCGGCCGCAACATGGTGATGGCGCCTGTGATGTTGTCCATGTGGAAGTAGCCGTGGTCCGTACCTGGGAAGGAAGAGGAGTTAGCGTTAAGTTAGGGACCATTGAATCATAAGATACTAGAGTTGGGAGCGACCCTCTAAGGCCATGTTGTCGAACCCCGTGCAATGCCAGAATCTCAGCTGAAGCGTCCATGGCAGAGGACCACCTGATCTCTGTTGCATCAGGGGGAGAAATTCACATTTTTGTTGCCGTTTTGATGAGAAATGACCTAGTTTGAAACCAGAGGCTTTCCTATTAGGAATCTTAGGTGCACAGAAAAGCTCAAGATACACGTTGATCTACCCACACATAGTGTTATCCTTGAGAAACGTAGAAAAGAAGAGGATATATTTATCCGAAAGTCTTCAAACTTACAAACTTCAAACTTAAAAATTAGCTGATGAAGGTAAATACATTGAAACAGAGCCCTGTCCTGGTTTCCAATCCATAATTGACTTTTGCTCTATGATTGAAACTGAGTCTCCATCTGCAAGCTGCTAAATTATAAGGATCAACATTATTGTCGAGTGAAAAAGAGAAAATCTTTGTAATGAATTATTGTGTTATACATATCTCTTTGAGTTTGAGTTTGTAATCTCTGTTAGAGTTTGTAATTTCTATTTGAGTTTGTAATCTTTATTAGAAAACATACTTTTGAATGGATTAGTTTTTGTTACTGCAGTGGTACCTCGGGTTACATACGCTTCAGGTTACAGACTCCGCTGACCCAGAAATAGTGCTTCAGGTTAAGAACTTTGTTTCAGGATAAGAACAGAAATCGGGCTCTGGCAGTGCGGTGGCAGCAGGAGGCCCCATTAGCTAAAGTGGTGCTTCAGGTTAAGAACAGTTTCAGGTTAAGAACGGACCACCGGAATGAATTAAGTACTTAACCTGAGGTACCACTGTATTGACTATTGAATTGTGAGCAGGGACCCCTCCCACTGCTGAAACTTATATTGGCCAGAGTTCTTGGTGTGCTTTTTTCTTGGTATATTTAATAACATTCCAAAACCAGGCGTGTGCCTCCTGGCTGAGGAACCAAGGCTGAGCTTGGCAGTCCCTGTGCAACGTTGCTTAAAAGCTACCTGCTCATTTACCATTTACAGTGGTACCTTGGTTCTCAAACTTAATCCGTTCCGGAAGTCCGTTCCAAAACCAAAGCATTCCAAAACCAAGGCGTGCTTTCTCCTAGAAAGTCATGCAAAACGGATTAATCCGTTCCAGACTTTTAAAAGCAACCCCTAAAACAGCAATTTAACATGGATTTTACCATCTAACGAGGCCATTGATCCATAAAATGAAAGCAATAAACAATGTACTGCAGTCACACAATCAATCCATCAGGAGCTGGACTGGGCTCCACACGGTCACAAAAACAAAACAAAAAAGAGCCGTGAAAACAAAAAAGTGAAATAAATAGCAAAAACAGGCAGACCTCAGCATAACGCTCAAAACGGAAGTGTGGCACTCAAAACATAAGCGCAACACTCCAGACGGAGTATGTTTGGCTTCCGAAAAAGTTCGCAAACCGGAACACTTACTTCCGGGTTTGCAGTGTTTGGGTTCCAAGTTGTTTGAGTACCAAGGCGTTTGAGAATCAAGGTACCACTGTATTTATGTGTGCAACGACAGCAGCGTGGACACTACTGGCGCAGAGATGGAAAGAAGATAAAGTCCTGACCAGAGACGAATGGCTGATGAAGATGATCCCGAAATGACAAAATTGACCGGGAAAACCAGGAAGAGAAGAACTTTAAGAAGGAATGGGAGAAATTGATAATGTGTTTAAGAGAACGCTGTAAACAACTAAAAACTTTGGCAGGATTTGAGTAATGCTTGTAATGTACTAAAAAAATATTTAGTTAAAATGGACTAATTTATTTTTTTTTAAAAAGAGAAAATAAGAGAAGCAGTTGGGAAAAGATTGATAATGGAAACCATGGAAAGGTGGAGGGGAGTCGAAGGATTCAGGGAATCCTAAATGATGGTGCTGATGTTTAATGTTTGGATTTTAGTTACAGGTAGGTAGCCATGTTGGTCTGCTATAGTTGAAACAAAATAAATTTAATTTAATTTAATTCAAAAATTCCTTCCAGTAGCACCTTAGAGACCAGCTAAGTTAGTTATTGGTATGAGCTTTCGTGTGCATGCACACTTCTTCAGATTTTAATTTGCAATGTAAAACTTAATAAAAAATAGATTTGACCAAAAAAAGGAGAAACGACCTAGTTTGCACTTCAGAAACTGCTACCTTTGAAATTTGTGCATCTCTGAATATTGCAGAGAGAGGAGGGAATCTGTTCCCCAAGAGATCTCTCCCAACCCCCGCCCACTAGGTCCACCTGCCACATAATCCCAGCCCAGCTTAAACTGTTTAATAACCCTCCCAATTGCATGGGGGGGAGGGATTCGAATCCCGCCTCCCCCCCCCCGGCCACCTCCAACCTCCAGCACCTGCTTCCAGCACCTTCCATCCAATTTGCTCCCTGAACAGCCATTGGGCCAGGCAATTGGATTGCCCAGCCGTCGCTCTGCGGGTGACACAGTTTTGCAGAATCCGACTGCGTGTTGCAGCCGGAGCAGTTGAGCCGGCCATTTATTGCTATTCCTCCCCCCCCCCCCCGGGCAGGTCATAGTAATTAAAGTGCATTATTAGAAATGGTTCGAAACATCTCAAATACCATGAAAAAATAAAGCGGGCCGTAAAAATATATAAATTGACCCCATCTTACTCTCGGTTCCTCACATCTCTGCACTCATTTGTGAGAAAGAATATGGTGGAATTCTGAGATTCTGCAGGAATCTCAGCTAAAGCATCCATGGCTTGGGTCAGCAAACTTTTTCGGCAGTGGGCCGGTCCACTGTCCCTCAGACCTTGTTGGGGGCCGGACTATATTTTATTTGGGGGGGGGGATGAATGAATTCCTATGCCCCACAAATAACCCAGAGATGCATTTGAAATAAAAGCACACATTCTACTCATGTAAAAACATGCTGATTCCCGGACCATCCATGGGCCGAATTGAGAAGGTGATTGGGCTGGATCTGGCCCCCGGGCCTTAGGTTGCCTCCCCATGATCCATGGCATGTGGTCATTCATCTTGTCCTTGCAGGGCCGGATTTAGGTTTGATGAGGCCCTAAGCTATTGAAGGTCATGGGGCCCTTGATATGTCCAGCTGTCCTTTGTCAACAACAAATTGTTGCTTATTTTTATGTTGAATATGTGCTATATAGTAATTGATGGACCTAAGGTAAAGGTAAAGGGACCCCTGACCATTAGGTCCAGCCATGGCCGACTCTGGGGTTGCGGCGCTCATCTCGCTTTACTGGCCGAGGGAGCCGGCGTACAGCTTCCAGGTCATGTGGCTAGCAGGACTAAGCCGCTTCTGGTGAACCAGAGCAGTGGACGGAAACGCCGTTTACCTTCCTGCCGGAGCTGTACCTATTTATCTCCTTGCACTTTGACGTGCTTTCGAACTGCTAGGTTGGCAGGAGCAGGGACCGAGCAACGGGAGCTCACCCCGTCGCGGGGATTCGAACCACCGACCTTCTGATCGGCAAGTCCTAGGCTCTGTGGTTTAGACCACAGCGCCACCCACGTCCCACTGAAGGTAATGGGGCCCTTTCTACGTCCAGCTGTCCTTTGTCAACAACAAATCGCCGCTGATTTTTGTGTTGAATATATGCTATGTGGTAATTTATGGACCTAATAGGTATCTCAAGCCATTTGCACATGTTGCGCATGCAACCAGTCCATGCAGAATGTGGGCACCCTATATATAGAAAGGAGCAAACCAGGGATATTTTAGGGAGCAGGCGAGCAGGCGGGGGCCATGACTTACATCATAGCAGCCTACACCACCAAAACACTGTTGCTGCATGTAGGTTTTATTTTATTAGTTTGTTATCTTATATTTTGGAAATGTACCGTATTTTTCACTCTATAAGACGCACCAGACCACAAGACGCACCTAGTTATTGGAGGAGGAAAACAAGAAAAAAAATATTCTGAATCTCAGAAGCTAGAACAGCAAGAGGCTGCGCAGTGAAAGCAGCAATCCCTCTTGCTGTTCTCAGTGGCGTAGCGTGGGTTGTCAGCACCCGGGGCAAGGCAAGTAATTTGCGCCCCCTAACCCGTGGATTTGCGCCCCCTAACCCTAACCCCCAGATGTTGCGCCCGGTGCAGCCGGCCCCCCCTGCACCCCCCACGCCACGCCACTGGCTGTTCTGGCTTCTGGGATAGCTGCGCAGCCTGCGTTCGCTCCATAAGATGCACACACATTTCCCCTTACTTTTTAGGAGAGAAAAGTGAGTCTTATAGAGCAAAAAATACGGTACATCCCCTTTAATTTGGGGGGGGGGGCAAGAGAGTGGGGCCCTAAACTGTAGCTTGTTTAGCTTATACGTAAATCCGGCACTGTGTCCTTGCAGTGTCCCACCAGATGCTTCTTCTGGGAAGGCCCCAATTCAAGATTCGAACCCTCTGCCCTCTGCAGTTTCCTGCAACTGGGATTCATAAGCCTTGCTGCCTGCAACCGCAGAGGCAGAGAATAGCCTCTGTCCTAGCTATTAAGCCAGTGCTAGCCCTCTCCTTCTCCATGAATTTGTCCAATCCTGGCCATCCCTAATTCCTGTGGGAGGGAGTTCCAAAGGTTAACTTTGTGTGAAGAAGGGCTATCTTTTATCATGAAAGATCATCTATATATATATCAACTCCTGATACACAGATGTATGCAATTTTGCAAAATAATAATAATTATAGCAATTTCTTGCTACTAATCCCTGTATTGTATAAATATAAGTTTGTAGGGAGGTAAAAAGAAATTAAATAAGAAATATGTAACTGTGTGGTATAAAAGTAATGGATAGATAAAGTACAGTGAGATTAATTGGAAGTCAGTTTTAAATTTCTTCTGTATCAGTTTTATAATTGTGTTCAATATCAGGAGTATATATGATGATAATTATATTAATCTTCTTATATCTTATAGTGTGGTGGTTTGTTTGATTTTTCTGTTATTTGTTTGTTTGTTTGTTTGTTGTTGTTTACTTGTATATATGTCTGTTTTTTAATAAATGTATTTATTTTAAATTAATAAAGATATATTTAAATAATAATAATAATAGCAATAATCCCCAGCCATATGCCCGCTATACGGAAGTTAACCACGGGAGAACAATAATTGATTTTAGGCACTCTAATGGTAGCTGATATTGATGAACTGGAAGAATGAAGAGACGATCTCCTTCAATCAGTGGATTAATAATAGGATAACATTTGCAACCTACAAAGGGCTGCTTACGGATGTAGACTCTGCTCGGATAAATACAACAATATTTTTGAATTTATGCAAAACGTAGCAGTCTATTAATATTTACATCAGTATTAGGATAAGAATATCAAATTTCTAAAAGAAGGTATGGGTTAGGCTATTTTTGTATATATTCATGTAATGTTTTTCCCCATTACACAGTTGTGTGTTTTCTCCCCTTGTTTTTTTTGTATCACTTTATTGCTTTATAATTGAATTTTTTTCAATAAAAAAGCAACTTATTTTTTTTTAAAAATAAAAAACATTAAAGTTCATCTCAACTTCTGATAAATACAAGTATGCAATTTTTCACACACAGAGACACACACAAATTCCCAATGTTATGCACCTTTGTGTGTTATTTTCACCAATATATGCACTTCAGAGGAGTTTGACTTCACTGCCAGATATCCTGGCAATAAGCTATGGCACGTGCGAGAACATGTGATCCCACATCCAGGTAATCTAAGCAGCGCCAAAAGGAACCTGCCCTTCCTTCCTCGATTTGCTGGAGGGAACAGATTCGGCAGTGTGCTTTAGCTGAGCAAACTCTGGTTTTGCCATTCGCCGTATATTTCGCTCCATAAGACGCACCTGACCATAAGACGCACCTAGTTTTTAGAGGAGGAAAGGGGGAAAGCCCAGTTTTGGGGGATTAGCTCAAAGTTGTGCAGCTTCTTTTGCAAAGAGGAAAAGCCCCAATTTTTTGAGGATCTGCTCACAGTTGTTGAGCTTACTTTGCGAAGAGGAAAAATCCTGTTTTTATGGGGTTCAACTCACAGTTCTGCAGCTTCTTTAGGAAAGGAAAGGGAGCCATTTCTACAGTTTCCAGACAGATAATCTAATCCAGTGTTTCCCAACCAGTGTTCCGCGCACACTAGTGTGCCGTGAGACGTTGCCTGGTGTGCCGCGGGAAAAATTGGCGGGGGGGGGAAATAAAGGGGAAAAAAAATTATGCCCCCACCGCCAGGCATGGGGCTGGGGCGGGGGAAGCCCGAGCTTCCCCCTCCCCCAGAATGGGACCCAGAGCCATGCCAAAGCTGCGCGCAGCTTTGGCATCGCTCTGTGAGCTTGCGGGGCTGGGGGAGGAGGAAGCCCTCCGCCAGCCTCCAAACCATGTCGGGAGACAGCGGGATGGCGCGCTGCACCTCTCCCGCTGTCCCCCGAGTTTGCGGGGCTGGCGACGGGGAGGCGCAGTCTTCTCCCCCCGCCAGCCTTCCAGCCAAGTCGGGGGGCAGCGGGAAGGGCGAGCTGCGCCTCTCCCGCTGTCCCCCGAGTTTGCGGGGGCTGGCGACGGGGAGGCGCAGGCTTCTCCCCCCGCCAGCCTTCCAGCCAATTCGGGGGGCAGCGGGAAGGGCGAGCTGCGCCTCTCCCGCTGTCGCCCGAGTTTGCGGGGCTGGCGACGGGGAGGCACAGTCTTCTCCCCCCGCCAGCCTTCCAGCCAAGTCGGGGGCAGCGGGAAGGGCGAGCTGCGCCTCTCCCGTTGTCCCCCGAGTTTGCGGGGCTGGCGACGGGAGGAGCAGGCTTCTCCCCCCCGCCAGCCTTCTAGCCAATTCGGGGGGCAGCGGGAAGGGCGAGCTGCGCCTCTCCCGCTGTCCCCCCGAGTTTGCGGGGGCTGGCGACGGGGAGGCGCAGGCTTCTCCCCCCGCCAGCCTTCCAGCCAAGTCGGGGGCAGCGGCAAGGGCGCGCTGCGTTTCTCCCGCTGTCCCGGACGGCTTTCAAAAGCCTGCCTTCAAAAGCCGTCCGGGACAGCGGAGAAACGCGCTGCCTTTCTCCGCTCTCCCGGGAAGGCAGGCAGGGGGGAGCAAAGGCTTTCGCCCCTGCCCGCCTTCAGAAGAGGTCCAGGACTTTTAAATCGCCCCGGACAGCGGAGAAGTCCTCCGCTGTCCCAGGCGATTTTAAAATGCCGCCCGCCAGCATTTTAAGATTGCCCCGGACAGCGGAGAAGTCCTCCGCTGTCCCGGGGTTTTTTAAAATGCTGGGGGTGGGAAGAAAAGCCCTCCCCCCCCGCAAGGCAAGGGGGAGGCGAAAAAATTGAAACTTACACTTTCGTGCGTCCCTCCCGGCGTGACGCTGCGCGCTGACGTCACGGGGCTGTAATGGTGGTGTGCCTCGATATTTTTTTCATGAAACAAGTGTGCCTTTGCCCAAAAAAGGTTGGGAAACACTGATCTAATCAGCCAGTCCCATGTCGCTGGGGAAACAAACGGCCTCCGTCTGCAGAACATTCAACAATGGAGGCCTGGGCAAGGGGCCGGAAAGGGAGCCAGCGAACGACCGCACATTCGCTCCATGAGACACACAGACATTTCCCCTTACTTTTTAGGAGGAAAAAAGTGTGTCTTATGGAGCGAAAAATACGGTATTTCTTAAAATTTATACACTGTTGAACTGTGAAAGCCAGAAACCTCTAAGTGGCTCACAAAAGACAAAACAGCGAAATTGAGGAAAATTCACAACCACACACATGAAAGATTAAAACACTTAAGTAAAAGAATGGCAAATCAAACTTTGTGAATACATAGATTTGGAAAGGTTAACGGCAGTCTTAAGAGGACAATCAGATCAACAATTAATAAAAGAATGGGACTGTGTTAAAGAGTATATGAAAAAAACATTGTTTGGGAATAAACATATCAGTATGTAATGAATGAAGTTTGCAAGGTCAAGGGAATGAAGAAATGGTTATAAAAGGTACAAAGCTAGAAATAACATATATATGTGCGCATATATATATATATATATATATAACACAACCTTACGATAAAATGAAAAGTTGAAGGCTCTAAAGGATGGAAGGGAGTCAAAGTGTATGTATGTTTGTTTACGTTTTTGTGGTTGTTCTTTTTTCTTTCCTTCGGTTTTTTGACGAATGTATTCTTTTGTTTATATTTTATGTTGTAATTCTGCATTGAAAATAAAGTTTAAAAAGGAGAAGCAGGACTAAGACGTGGAGATATTCTCCAGAGATCCAGACTGTGGGGAGCCTCAAGAAAGGAATAAATACAATTTGGACTATAATTTATCTTTTTTAATTTATTTATTTATTTATTTATTTATTTTTAGTTGAAGTATTATGATTGGATATTTAATTGGATGCTTTTTTATTGGAAAATCAATAAAAAGGATTTTAAAAAGAACAAGAAAGGAAAGTTTAAAAAATAATAATAAAATAAATAAAACCCTGAAACAAGTTGAAATTTGACTCAACTTTCTAAGACAGGCTTGTCTAAAGAAGAATGGTCACAGGAGAGAAGAGCACAGCGAAGGCGCCTGATCAATTTCAATTGGCGGGGAGTTCCGAAGGGTAGGCAGGCACTGCCACACGAAACAACCAAGTTTTTATCAATGGATAGTGGGAATTGCTGTCAACTTACAGATTTGAAAATAAGGGACCAGCAGCCTTGAAAATAAGGGATCAGCAGCCAAAATAAGGGATTTTGCTTAGCTTATGCACGTCGGGGCTGCCGTCATCCTGGCGCAAGGAGTTCCATCGGCCCTTCCCTGCCCGAGAGAGAGGGAGGGAGGAAGAGAGACTCTCGCTCGCAAGCCCAGCATGACGCGGTTGTGGCGCCGCGGTGGCTGCTGAAGCGCCGCCCTTCTGCGTCCCTCCCCATCCCCTCCTCTTCCTCCTCCCTCAGGCCGTCTCCTCAGCCGCCGCTGCCGCCTCTGGCTTCCCCTGGCAGCGTGGCAGAAGTCTTGCAAGAGAGGGGCTGCCTGCCTGCCCACCACCACCCATCTCCTCACGATGCGCCCCTGGGGGGGGGGAGAGACGGAGACGCGGCAGCTCGTGCGCGCACGCTCTCTCACGGTGGAGGACCCCGAGTCGCTGCTTCCCTCCTGAGCCAGGTGAGCATGAAACCCGGGAAATTTAAGGGACATCATCAATCCGGGACAGCAGCGGGACATGGCGCTGGGATAAGGGAGTTTCCCACCGAATAAGGGACGGTTGACAGCTATGTGCCAGTTCTGCCAAGTGAAAGGGTCGAGGGGGTACAGGGGTGGTGGTCAGGCGATCTCGTTGCCCCAATTTGCTATGGGCTTTGCATTTTAACTGCAACACCTTTGACTTGACTGGCTCCCTTCCTCGTCCGTCTGCCGGCAGATGAAGGTTTTTCTTGTTCCAACAGCCTTTAGGGAACTGACTGCTTTAACCTAAAGGGCTTTTTACTGCCTTGTCTGTTTTAAACAGATATACAGTGGTCCCTCGGTTTTTCGAACGTAATCCGTTCTGGAAGACGGTTTGAGTTCCAAAACGTTCGAAAACCAAGGCCCAAAGGGCGGTCTGCAAATTCAGACACCCCCCCCCATCGCCCAATGCTCCCTTGGGGGAAGCTCATGAGATTCCTGCACAGCATGGGGTTGGACTAGATGGCTTTCTGGGTCCCTTCCAACTCTATGGTGCCCTGATTCTAGAACAGCCTTTCTCAGCCTGTGGGTCCCCAGATGTTGTTGAACTACAATTCCCATCACCCCTAGCTAGCAAGGCCAGAGCTCAGGGATGATGGGAGTTGTAGTCTAACAACATCTGGGGACCCACAGGTTGAGAACCACTGTTCTAGAACCTGCTGGGCCATTGGAAGAAAAAGAGGATGCTGCGCTCGATGGGCCCTCTTAGACCTTATCCAGGAGCCAGCCGGGCTCTTTTTCTGTCCCCTGACCGCCCTGTCACCAGGGACCCCCAGTACCTGAGAGAATAGAATAGGTGATGGCAGCCTTCAGGTCGCGGTCTCCGTCCTCGGCATGGATGGGACCAGGCAGGAACTGGAGGGGTTCTGTCTGCAAGAGATAAACAACCTTCAGGGAAAGCAGGCAGAGAAATGTGCATGTGCAGGGGAGCGAGTTCAAGTTTCTGCCCTGCACGTTGTTGCAGGAATTTATGTATAGGTTGGGGCAGCAGATATCATGCACATGCAGCCCGCTACCAAAACCAGCACAATCACTTTTGTGACTTTTGTGACTTGTCCCCACAAAACACTTCATCACAGTTTCTTCCTATCTATTCAAAGGGCCTCTGCTGCACAATACCAAATGTAAGAATTCACTGATAAATGTCTCTATGTACTGGCTCACTGGGAAAACTTCAGAAATTCACATAGACATGTGAGCTCAGCTACTCAGCAGCCCCTCTGCCTGAGTGATAATCCCTGGCATCCTGATACCTGAGTGCCAGACAGGTAGCCATTCCACAAAGAACCAACCCAGATGAAGACAAAAGGGTGTGATGAACTTGGCTGGGAAACAGGGAAATGTAAATATCTCTTTTGTTACACTTGATGGGTGTTTGGTGGAGGGCAAGAAGAACCATGGGGCAGGGTCCAGGATGCTCAGATTCCTGCCACAGACCTCCCCTTTCATGATGTAACCGTGATGTATGTTTGATGTAGTTTGGGGGGTGTAACACGGGTGGCGCTGTGGGTTAAACCACAGAGCCTAGGCCTTGCTGATCAGAAGGTCGGCGGTTCGAATCCCCGTGACGGGGTGAGCTCCCGTTGCTCGGTCCCTGCTCCTGCCAACCTAGCAGTTCGAAAGCACGTCAAAGTGCAAGTAGATAAATAGGTACCGCTGTGGCGGGAAAGTAAACGGCGTTTTCGTGCGCTGCTCTGGTTCACCAGAAGCGGCTTAGTCATGCCAGCCACATGACCTGGAAGCCGTATGCTGGCTCTCTCGGCCAGTAAAGCGAGATGAGCGCCGCAACCCCAGAGTCGGCCACGACTGGATCTAATGGTCAGGGGTCCCTTTACCTTTTTTAACATGGGGATTAGCAGCTAATAAAAGTTTGGGTTCTCTTTTGTTTGGGGCTTCCATCTTGCTCCACCTTGTGGCAGGTGGGAGTCCTGTCGCGACAGTCTTCAATAAAGATCAAGCCTACTGGCTGCTTTTTTGCTCTGGTATTCCTGTCTGGTGTCCTTGTTTATTGTCCAAGGGAGCCCTCAGATTTCTCCGTTAACAATGTCACATTTTTAACAGCAGGCACCACATTCGTGAAGCTGAGGCTCCAAGACTTTGGCCACCTCATGAGAAGAGAAGACTCCCTGGAAAAGACCCTGATGTTGGGAAAGATGGAGGGCACAAGGAGAAGGGGACGACAGAGGACGAGATGGTTGGACAGTGTTCTCGAAGCTACCAGCATGAGTTTGACCAAACTGCGGGAGGCAGTGGAAGACAGGAGGGCCTGGCATGCTCTGGTCCAGGGGGTCACAAAGAGTCGGACACGACTAAACGACTAAACAACAACAACCACATTTTCAACACCAGACACCCCTGCTCACCTTGAGCTCCCCTTCTGTGATGTTGGCGGTGTAGACGGGGCTGACGCAAATGCCGACCCCGTCGTGTGACAAGAAGTTGCACGGCAGGAACTGGGGGTACTGGTCGTCTCCGTCCATCACGTTGACGTGGATCCTGGCTGAGGAGTTGTACCTCTCCTTTGTGTTCATTTCCTGGGGCAGAGAGAGCTTAGGTTAAATGCCCCAGTGTGAGAACATAAGAAGAGCATGCTGGATCAGGCCAGTGACCCATTCAGTCCAGCATCCTGTTCTCGCAGGGTACAACCAGATGCCTAAACAGGAAAACCTCCAGCAGGATCTGAACACAAGACCCCTCTTCCCGTCCTGTGCCTTCCAGAAACTGGTGGAAGCAAAGCAGGAGCTATTGTGGTTGGTAGTCACAGATGACCCTCTCCTTCTCCATGAATTTGTCTAATCCTCTTTTAAAGCAAAATAATAATAATAATAATAATAATAATAATAATAATAATAATAATAATTTATTTGTACCCCGCCCATCTGGCTGGGTTTCCCCTTAGAATTGGGTACACCTGGCTTACTAGCAGTACCTGTGAAAAGGATCTAGAGGTCTTGGTGGACCACAAGCTGAACATGAGCCAACAGTGTGATGCAGCAGCAGAAAAGGCCAATGTTATTCTCGGCTGCATCAACAGAAGTCTAGTGTGTCCAGATCAAGGGAAGTCATAGTCCCGCTCTATTCTGCCTCGGTCAGACCACAGATGGAATACTATGTCTAATTCTGAGAACCACAATTTAGGAATGATGTTGACAAGCTGGAAGGTGTGCAGAGGAGGGCAGCCAAGATGATCAAGGGGTCTGGAAACTAAGCCTGATGAGGAACGGTTGAAGGAATTGGGGATGTTTAGCATGGAAAAGAAGAGACTGATGGGGAGATATGAGAGCCATCTTCCAATATCTTAACGGCAGTCACATGGAAAGAGGAAAAAGCTTGTTTTCTCCTGCTCTGGAGGGTCAGACCCAAACCCATTATGATTTGTTATTTAGAGTGGACGCTCGGGTTGCGAACATGATCCGTGCGGGATGCACGTTCGCAACCCGCAGCATCCGCAACCCGCAGCAGCGCATCTGCACACACGTGGATCGCGATTCGGCGCTTCTGCGCATGCGCAAAGTGTGATTTTTGCGCATCTGCGCATGCGTGACTGCCGAAAACCCAGAAGCAACATGTTCCGGTACTTCCGGGTTTCGGCGGTCCATAACCCAAAAAAAACCGCAGCCTGAAGCGTTTGTAACCCGAGGTATGACTGTATTTTAAAAAAGCTAATCTGGTGAAACAAAATGGGAGCAAAGGAAAACAGGATGCGATTTTTGTAAACCGCTTTGAGGTCTTCTGACCATGCCGTGGTAGGACTCGAACCCGTGGCTTTGGGGAGAATCAGGAAGAATTTTCGGACAGTAAGAGCTGTTCGACAGGGGAACGGTCTCCCTTGGGAGGTGATGGACTCTCCTTCCTCGGAGGTTTTTAAGCAGACGTTGGATGGCCATCTGTCCTGGATACTTTAGCTGAGATTCCTGAATTGTGTGTGGGGGGGTGGACTAGATGACTCTTAGGGTCCCTTCCAACTGATTCTACGAAATCAGAATAAACGCTCGTTGAACAGCAGAGCATCCTCCTGCAAACGAATCGCGGCAAATACTCTCCCAACACGTCAGACGGAAGCCCCAGCATTGAGCCGCAGAGGCCATAACACACCTGCGGGCACGTGTTGTGGGTTGGCTGCTCCAGGGCACACCTGAAGGGCACCTGGCTCGGAAGCCAACCAGCAAGGGGGGCAAGGAGGGAGGGGCGGGAGCGGGAGCAGGACGGGCCTCGTGCAAGGGACGGTGGCGCTGGGCACCTTGCCATCTGGAGAGCAGCCCAAATCTGCCACGCAGGTGTGGGTGATGCAGAAGGGCTGGCGCAAAACCGGGGGCACACGTCGTTTGGGCAAAGAGGGGGTGAGCCGTACAGATGGTGGGGGGCGCCTCTTGGCATTCCTGGGGCCACGAGGGGATGGGGGCCAGCGATGGATGCAGCGAGTTGCCGCTTGACGTTAGCCCTCTTAGAGAAATTAAAAGAAGGGGGGGAGAGATTTAAGCCATTAGCCCTGAAGGGGGGGAGCTGACAGGATCACGTCACCCCCAATTAGCCAGCTTAGGGAGGCCCAGGCGGCTGTTAATGAGCCGGCGAGCGGCGGGGAGGGGGTGTGTGCCTGAAAATAGCTGCCCACAAGGAAAAGCCTCCTGGTCTCTCTGAAAAGCCTCGCTCTCTGCAATTGCTTAGGTTTCAGTGGCGATTCCCGCAGTTGGACGAGACAACCTTCTGACAGTCTTCCCCAACCTGGTGCCCGCCAGACGTTTTGGCCGACGTCTCCGCCCAGCACGACACGTGCGTCTCGAGGGCGCCGTCTTGGCGAAGGCTGCCCTGGCCACCCCGTGGTTGCCTGGCAGCGGACCAAAGGAAGTCTCCTTCATCGTGGAGCGCAGACTGTGGAACTCACTGCCACATGAACATCATTAAAAGAGGACTGGGTAAGGGCTCTGGCAGCGGACCAAAGGAAGTCTCCTTCATCATGGAGCGCAGACTGTGGAACTCACTGCCACATGAACATCATTAAAAGAGGACTGGGTAAGGGCTCTGGCAGCGGACCAAAGGGAAGTCTCCTTCATCATGGAGCGCAGACTGTGGAACTCACTGCACATGAACATCATTAAAAGGGACTGGGTGAGGGCTCTGGCAGCGGACCAAAGGAAGTCTGCTTCATCGTGGAGCGAAGACTGCGGAACTCACTGCCACATGAAACATCATTAAAAGAGGACTGGGTAAGGCTCTGGCAGCGGACCAAAGGAAGTCTCCTTCATCATGGAGCGCAGACTGTGGAACTCACTGCCACATGAACATCATTAAAAGAGGACTGGGTGAGGGCTCTGGCAGCGGACCAAAGGAAGTCTGCTTCATCGTGGAGCGAAGACTGCGGAACTCACTGCCACATGAACGGCATTAAAAGAGGACTGGGTTAGGGAAAGCTCACAATGGCTGTGCTCTCATTCCTGCATCACACGGGTTGGGCTGGATGACCTTCAGGGGTCCCAACTCTACAATTCCACGATCCCTCTGCAGTTGGAGGCTGCAATGCTTCTGATTGCTGGAAACCACACGAAGGGAGAGGGCTATTGCGGCCGGATCCTGTCTGCGAGTTTCCCCTAGGCGTCTGATTTGCATGGGTTGCTCTTCCGGCTTTTGCTTCCAAATGGATGGGCTGTTGGTCTGATTCAGAAGGCCTTGTCTTGGAATCATCGAATTGGAGAGTTGAAAGGGACCCCAGGGGTCATCTATTCCAACCCCCTGCAATGCAGGAATCTCAGCTCAAGCATCCATGACAGGTGGCCACCCGACCTCTGCTTAAAAACCTCCAAGGAAGGAGAGTCCGCCACCTCCCGAGGAAGCCCATTCCACTGCCAAACATCTCTTACCATCAGCAATGTCTAGGCAACACGATGACCATGTACATACGCAATAGACAATCTTTATAGAATTCCTTCAAACCATAACAAGGACAAAATGAAATCTTTAGTCTCAAAGTCTCTGGAAATCTTTAAATGAAGCCAGTGGCGTAGCGTGGGGGGGGTGCAGGGGGGGCCGGCCGCACCGGGCGCAACATCTGGGGGCTAGGGTTAGGGGGCGCAAATCCACGGGTTAGGGGGTGCAAATTACTTGCCTTGCCCTGGGTGCTGACAACCCACGCTACGCTACTGAATGAAGCAAGGCACCAGACTTTGTGGGACGCAGGTGGAGCTGTGGGTTAAACCACAGAGCCTAGGACTTGCCAATCAGAAGGTCGGCGGTTCGAATCCCCGCGACGGGGTGAGTTCCCGTTGCTCAGTCCCAGCTCCTGCCAACCTAGCAGTTCGAAAGCACGTCAAAGTACAAGTAGATAAATAGGTACCGCTCCAGCAGGAAGGTAAACGGCGTTTTGGTGCGCTGCTCTGGTTTCGCCAGAAGCGGCTTAGTCATGCTGGCCACATGACCCGGAAGCTGTACGCTGGCTCCCTCAGCCAATAAAGCGAGATGAGCGCCGCAACCCCAGAGTCGGCTGCGACTGGACCTAATGGTCAAGGGTCCCTTTACCTTTACCAGACTTTGTACGATGAAAGACAAGCTGTGAAGCTTTGTGTATTCAGCAAATATGATGTCCAACACTGAACAGAGATTCCGGATATTGACTACTGTTTCGTAGAATTCTTCGTCAGCGTGGTGGGAGGATATAGAATTGCTTCATAAACCCATCTTATTTCGAATGAATGTATGTAAATGAAAATATCAAATGCTGTGGAACAGTGCTCATGTAATAATGTAGTCACTCGCTTCATTTAAAGATTTCCAGAGACTTTGAGACTAAGATTTCATTTTGTCCTTGTTATGGTTTGAAGGAATTCTATAAAGATTGTCTATTGCGTATGTACATGGTCATCGTGTTGCCTAGACATTGCTGACGTTCTCTTTGCAACACAGGGGTTGGTTTGGTTTACAAACAGCTCTTACCGTCAGAACGTTCTTCCTGATGTTTACCCTGGATCTACTATTTTGTAACTGGAAGCCATGGGTTCGGGTTCTACATCCCAGAGGAGGAGAAAAACCGTTCTTACGTTCTCATAAGGTGCTCGTGTTAATGTTTAAAGCCCTAAATGACTCAGGCCCCAGAGGGAGAACCCTTGAGAGTTCCTCCACTCTCAGAGGCTCAGGATGGTAGCCTGGGAGAAAGGGCCTTTTCTGTGGTGGCCCCTAAGCCATGAGACTCCCTCCCCACAGAAGCATGTCTGGCACCTTCATTGCACAGCTTCTGGAGGATGCTGAAGACACTTATCCCTGGCCTTTGAACCTTCAGGTACAGTGGACGCTCAGGTTGCGAACATGATCCATGCATGTTCGCAACCCACAGCGCCACATCTGCGCACGCGCAGGTTGCAATTCAGCACTTCTGGGCATGCGCAAAGTGCAATTTAGCACTTCTGCGCATGCACGACCACCGAAACCCGGAAGTACCGTATTTTTCTCTCTATTACACGCAGATTTTTTCTCCTAAAAAGGAAGGGGAAATGTCTGTGCGTGTTATGGAGCGAATGTGGGGGGGGGTCCCTGGAGCCGATTAGGGGAGCGCAGGAACAAAAATCAGCAAAAATCAATCGTGCGTTGTGTCGGAGAGGGAAACCTGAAAAGAGGAAGTGGTTGCTTTCCTGCATTCTGCCTCAGGGTCTTACTGCCCACCCTCCTCTGTTTCGTTGCTGTGTTTGCTCAAACGGAACAAAGAGCAGGGAAAGCCCCTCCCCTCCAGGCAAGCAGAGGGGAAAGCAGAGGTCTTTCCTTCTAATTCCTCTCCGTGCTCCTCGCAGGCAGCCAGAAAACATGCAGGAGGAGAGAGAAGCTGGCTTCGGTTTGTGGAAACTTTTGCCTTTCTTTTCCTCCCTCCCGTTAAATCCCTCTCCTGCATTCTTAGCCAGCTGCTTCTCTGCACACCGCTCTCCTTGTTCCCTTCTGTGTTTTTCCTTCACTCCCCACTTAAAATGTAGTTACAAAGCATGGATCCACATGGATCCTCAGGATCTTTGGCATTGGGCCACCCCAAATTCACCATCAGATCACATAGCAGCCTGCCCCCCAAAAATCACACACCCACTGTTGCCTGGGGCTGCAATGGTGCAAAAACGTGGTTAAAAAGCATGGATCCACATGGATCCTCAGGATCTTTGCATTGGGCCACCCCAAATTCACCATCAGATCACATAGCAGCCTGCCCCCCAAAAATCACACACCCACTGTTGCCTGGGGCTGCAATGGTGCAAAAACGTGGTTAAAAAGCATGGATCCACATGGATCCTCAGGATCTTTGGATTGGGCCACCCCAAATTCACCATCAGATCACATAGCAGCCTGCCCCCCAAAAATCACACACCCACTGTTGCCTGGGGCTGCAATGGTGCAAAAATGTGGTTAAAAAGCATGGATCCACATGGATCCTCAGGATCTTTGCATTGAGCTACCCCAAATTCACCATCAGATCACATGTCTGTGGCCACAGCATGAAGCACAAAAATGATACATCCACTGTTTCATTCAGAATTTTTCCCCTTGTTTTCCTCCTCTAAAAACGATGTGCGTGTTATGGTCAGGTGCATGTTATAGAGCGAAAAATACGGTACTCTGCAAATGCCAATATTGCTCTGATTTTTGAGAAATGTGCAGATTCCAATAAATGCCAATCCGAACGAATATACAGCCTTAGTTTTACGCAAAATTGCAGAAAGAATATAAGAATTGCTAGGGCAAATGCACAACCCCACATTTTCTGGAATCCTGGGGATCTAAGGGTACAGAAGGTTGAGCGCTTCTTGCAAAGAACTCCTGCCATTAGTTGGGAAAGGGAGAAGAGGCGAGTATTCTTGCTTAAAGGTGCTTTGCAACCGCAGCTGGCATCTGAAAAAAAATAGTCTACAGTGGTACCTCGGTTAAGTACTTAATTCGTTCTGGAGGTCCGTTCTTAACCTGAAACCGTTCTTAACCTGAAGCACCACTTCAGCTAATGGGGCCTCCTGTTGCTGCCGCGCCGCTGAAGCACAATTTCTGTTCTCATCCTGAAGCAAAGCTCTTAACCCGAGGCACTATTTCTGGGTTAGCGGAGTTTGTAACCTGAAGCGTATGTAACCTGAAACGTCTGTAACCCGAGGTATCACTGTATTCTCTTCTTTCAGTGACTAATGCAAGCAGAGTGGCTCGCCCATGTTTTCCAATTGTTCTCTTCTGTTGCCATTCTACAAAGTAGCTCATTGGAGCCTCCAAGTTGAACACATACTTCTGAATAGCAGCTGCAGGGGACAATGAACAGGTGAGACATCCAGCTGTCTACTGCAGGAAACTGAA